GTATCCGGTGCAGATAATGTACTTTTTATGAGTATGAGTATCATTAGAGTAAAATGTATCAGTATCTGTATCTGTATCATGTGATCAAACATTACCCTGAGCCTCAATTCTGAGGCTGTTCTGTAAGTAGTTTTCAAATAAATATAGCAACTTCTGATCAACCCATATCAATTTCAGGCTTAAATAAACAACTGCCAGCTAGCCATGCCCACTTCCAGCTTAGGTACCACCCATGTCTGGTTTAAGCCCCGCCCATTAGTATGGATATGAATGCAGATCATTTAGTTGAGAATAATGCTGTACTTGCTAACCAACACTGCCTGAGTGTCCACATATTACCAAATACAACGGCTAAATTATCCGTTTGTCTCTAAGTATTTTCATTTTCTAAGTATTTTATGTTTTTGCTGCTACTCCACTACGTTTATGTATGTGACAGATTAAGATTTTACATAAAACACATGAAAATCTTATAAAACAAAATTTTTTAAGGTTAAATCAGTGGTTTCCCGACCTTTATACCACCTTTAGTGTCTATGAGTTGTTAGTTTAGTTCCACCAGATGTTTGAATCTCTCTATCAAGCTTTCTTTTTCATTCTTTTCACAACCACTTTACGGACTTCTTGTGTGTGCGACACCAAGAATGCTTTCAAGGAGAAACTGTGCGAAAAAATGCCGTTATCCTGATGCGTACGATTTGTTTGTCAAGATTATAAAGAGTTCTTGAAGGATGATCAGAGTGTAGTGCAGTGCTGCTAGAGGAAGGCCACAGTGACAGACTTTGTGACCCACCTTCCAGTGTGGCCATTCATTCATTCAACAGGCATGGACATTTTTGCCTTTAGACAAGCTTGACACACCAACTGAACTTTATAGTACCAGCGTGATCTCACAAGTGACGAAATGAGACACTTTAGAGACAGTGTAAATGTAAATATAATGATATAAATGTAAAGGAAAAAGTACTCTGCTAGAACTACCTCCATTTACAATTTCAACTTTGTTCTGAAGCAAAACAGACTCAATGTATTTGCATGTCTGTCCATCCTGGGAGACAGATCCTTCTGTGTGGTTTTTCCTCAGGGTGAGGTTTAGGGTTAGTTTTTTCTTACCTGAATTGAGGGTCTGAGGACAGAGCGTGTTGAATACGTACATATTGTAAAACCCTCTGAGGCAAATTGTGATGTTGGTCTACATAAATAAAACTTGACAGCAAAGTTTTCTACCTAAAGTTTACCATCTCACAGGGGAGGGGAGGGGAGGGGAGAAAAGAATTATGGCATCACCTTTGGGAGTAACAAGTAAGTAGCAAGTGAGAGAGTTGGTGCAATCCTGCAACTTTTCTCAGCCAACCTTTTTTGCTAATGGAGTTCTATCTCCTGCAAAGAGGGGAGAGAAGCTTAAATGAGGCAGTGGAATGACAGGCAATAGACTGGAAAATATGAGAAAGAGGGAGGGGGATGGACTCAAGCTGATGTGTTTATTTGCTGCTGCGGGTGCCCAGCAGAAATCTTGGTGGGCAAATGCATTTTAAGTCCCCAATGCATAAAAAAGTAGACACAGCCTGTCTCCTACCATAAAAATCTTGAGAGATCAAACACACACCCTTGTGAGGTCGTGACTTCAGGTCTTACAGGGCTTAAGAGGAAGGTTCAGATTTGAAATCCATTTCAGTCATGATGCGGCTAACTGGTTTTGTCCTACTTTTGAGGCAATCGTGTATATTTTAATAGCCGCCTGTAAAAAATGACATTCTTAGCCATGAGTACAAAGCTGGATCCATTGCTTTGTAGTTCAGATCCCATTTTGACAGATAGACAATTTTCATTTGCAATTGAAGTGTTATTGAATTAAATGGACTGGGTTTGACAGGTAAGATGTTTTTAAAATCGTTATTTAGTGGTATTGACTCAGGTAATAACTAAAGGCAGGCGAGGCAAAGCACAAAGGTAAATTCTTTAACAGATGTCAACACAAAAGCTTTGGATTGTCAATTTGATTCCGCAGGTGCCTGTACTACAAAAAAAATCCACAGAGTCCACCAAAACTGAAGTGTACCACAATATCTATTCATGACAGCTTGATGTCCCAGTCTTGTGTGAATCATACAACACAATCAAGTCTTTGTTCAGCAGTGAAACAATCACACGTCATCATTTTCACTGCTCTATTCAAAGAAAGGACAGCTGCTTAGTGACAAACTGTTACTCAGCTAGAGAAAAGACACTAACATAAAAACTACCACTCTATAAAAGCTACACGACAGAGCTAATGTATAGCATATTTAGAAATGAGCCACTCTTGAAAGCTTGCCAAGATGACTCATTACATTACCGATGATTGCTGACTCACATGTTAATCAATGATGCAGTGAAACATTCCTTGTTAACCTTTCATCCTGTGCTAACTGACAAAGCTGTAGGTAACCAAGAGGCATAACAGCACACACTGTAGCTTTTTTCCAATTAGCATTGGATGGATTTAAGCACTCTCTGTTTGAAAGAGAAGGCTAATTTTAACATATTGTAGGTTAGAAAATCAAGCTAATGATTGTTTTTTGGTTAAAAAGTTATAGGTCTCATTTGAAATGTGAAGCTAGTGTTAAGATTGAAGTCGAAAATTCCACCTAATAAACATTTTAGGTGAATAAAAATATTTAGAAGAACCCTTAAAAGCTAAATCAATGGTATAATTCAATGCTAATGGTGTGTATGAGTTTGTATGTTTTTTAATGTTAATTTACTATCGTTGAATGATGCATTCATAAAATACATGTGAATTGTATATACGGCACTTGCACACATATCATTGAACTAAGTTAAGTCAAAAGCACAGGAGCAGCTTATAAAATAAAAAGATAAAGGAGAGTAGCTCTCTTCTTTATTTTGGAGGGACATTCTTTACAACAAGAAAGACAAAATACAGAGGATGATGGAGGGGCTGACTTTGAGCCCATGAACAGATATATGCTTTCAAATATCTCAGCACTAACACTCTAAAGCTGTTATTCTCAGCCAGAGCTTTACTGTACATTTTGAGAGAAGGATAGCTGGTGTTGCTCTCGCTCATTGGGATGTCTGTCCTGTTCAACGATGATACATTATAGCCACGATATAAGGACACTTGAAGAAATTACTTCAAAGAAGCAACTGAGATAGCAGCTGCCCAATCAGATCTCACTTTAGCAGGATAATAGCATTCAGGTCCCCAGAGGCAGAAATGAGGATGTGTCATAAATTATGAATTTCCATGAGAACAGATATGGATGGCAGTGCCACGCAATAATTGGCACAGCACTTAGCTCCAAGTGGAGCTGGCTGGTGTCTGAGTGATGTACACCACAGGCACCTACCCCGAAGACACGTTGCAGCGATTTGCAAAGTCAGCGTCACACAAGAGGCGCCCCCAATTATCATGCTGACCTTAGGCTCTGTGATGTAGCAACCTCATCTCTGGACCTGTAGGGCAGCATGGTTGGGTTCCACAGTGGGTTCAAGGTTAGAGTGGCCTTCTTGATGATTGAAGGTGCACTCTAAAAATACTGTTTTTATTAATAAAAAAAAGCTGTTGGTGCAACACTATAAACAAGCTCATACCTCTTAAAATACACATAATAGATTGAATCCATTTCAGATTATGAAGTTTTTCTGCAACAGTGTTTTAGTTGTCCCAGTCAACATAGTTTGAAATCAACACTTTTAAACTCTTAACAGAGGTGGCTGAGTGGGATTGGTGATAAACAGTTGGCACCTTGCATGGCAGCCTCTGTCATCACTGTCTGATTATGTGTGAATGGGTGAATGTTCCATGTAGTGTAAAGCCCTTTGAGTGGTCAGACTCGGATTTACCACTTGAAAAAGCCCTACTGATTGCCTGGTATTGTCACACCATGAGACACCAACCGCTGTGAATGTTTATAGTTTCAACAACAAACATAAACAAAGACAAAAAATTGAAGGAATAGTTCGACATTTTGGGAAATACTTGCTAAAAGTAAGGTGATAAGATCAATAACATGCTTGTGTGTACACTAAGTGTGAAGCTGGTATGCATTTAGTTTAGCATAAATACTGGAAACAGAGAATCAGCTTGCCTGGTTCAAGCTTAAGTTCAAACATCAAGAGCACCTCCGCTCTGCAGCACCTCTAAAGCTCACTAATCAACTCTTGTTGTTCATTTCATACACACAGAGGAACGCTACAGAAAGTAGCCTAATGCAGATTAAAACCACAGCTTGTTGACATTTCCATTTAAAGCAGCTATAAAGAACTTAAATGTTGTATTGATTCTGGCAGCCCCTGTGGACAAATGTGGTAGTGTTTCTACTGCCTCATTTCATCTGATTTGTGAGAATCTGAAGGAATATGACCCAGTGGCAGGCTTTAAGAATAACTAGAAATAACTCTATATCCCGCTGATGTTATTGTTTGTCTATGTAGGTCATATAGAGGCATCACCATTAAACTGAAACTGTTTCATAACCATTTAAAAACTCCTTGTTTAAATCTAAACTGAAAACACAAGTGAATAAGTATATTTACAAAAATGTCCAATGTTCCTTTATTAGGAACTCTTAATTATATGCAAGAGTTTCTAATTTTTTGTTCTAGTTAACATTTGTAATATTTAGCAAACAAATGGTCAATTCAAATCGTTTTAGTAACCCCCACTTCAGCCCCACTGAATTAAAATCCCTACTGCTTGCCATTATAGTAAGCCATAATCAATTTTTCTTTTTCAGAAAAGCCACAGCAAATTCGGGCATCCGTAGCCACAATAATCACAAAAAACAAACTCTTTGTTAATGCTGTTATGCTGAATTTCTTTGCATCTAAAGAAGTCCTTCAAAATATAGCTACCCTAAGAGAATTAAACCCCAGTCAGGGTTTATGCAGACCCAGTGTTCTTTCTACTCGAAAATAAAAGGAATAGACGCACCACAAATGTCGAAGACCGGTGCCATTTCTCATTCTCCTCTGCTCTCTTTGTTTTCCTGCAGGTGAAAGAGTGAACGGATGAGGTGGAGGACTTCTTCCTCAGCACACACACAGACGACACCTCGCAACATTCATCCGTGGGAGGAGGGGAAAGACTTTGGATCGTTTGTTGCCCGCAGGACGAATTCAAGGTCAGTACACAGTACGCTTACACACACACACACACACACACACACACACACACACACACACACACACACACACACACACACACACACACACACACACACACACACACAGAGAGAGTCAGGTTTGAGAACAAATAAACAGACGGAGGGAGAATCTTCTGTTCGCCTGGCTGTGTGTTTGTTTTAAGAGGAGTCATGTGAGCTGATAAGATTTTACGCATGAGCTGCACCTCCTTCAGGAACAAAATATCAGGGAATAAATTAAGAATCTGTTCAATATTTAACACAGAGTAATAGATTTTTAACAAAATCCTGGTTCAGGTGAGAGAAATGGGTTCCTCCCTTCCCTCTTTCTCTCTCATTTAGTTTAATACACTCTTCCTCCCCTCATATTTTAGTTCCTTCCTTGCGTCCATCCCTTTTCTTTAAAGTTTCATATGTCTTTAAAAAAAATTAAAATAATAATAACCACTAATCAACACTTCCAAACAAATGTTGGGCCGTCCAAGGTTTTTTTGCCCTGTGAAGTCCACACACTGGGAAGAATTTTGATTTTAATTGCTTCCCCATAGATTGCTGCGTCACTGAGAAACTAGGTTAATTGCATAAGACGAGAGAGCCACTTGTGACCTTCAGTGAATGCTGCCAACTACAGTTACCGCAGCATGCATACTGCAGTGCTGCGTTTACAGGTTAACAGTAAAACAACACCAAGTGATAGCCTGGATGTCTGCCTGTTTTATATGAATGTTGACAACAGTTTCAAAAAGCTTTTTAAGTGTCAGTCCTGTAAAGCTTTCCTGACAGCTACATGTTCACTGTGTAATTCCTAAGCCTACATGTGTCAGCATCAGGGCTTCAGACATATGGAGTAGTTCAGAGCTGTGATTGCACTATAGGTAGATTGGAGCGGCTCTGAGGTTGCTTTAAGGTGAAGTGTAGACTAAAATGTCCAGGTGCAAGATCATAAGGGCCTGAATATTTCTTTGCCTGCTTCGCATTTTACTGTTTGTTCATTCAGCACAGACAGCTCTGGCAGGAACCATCAGACCTGCATGAACTGAGCCCCTCAACTCTCTCCAGCCTGCCTTCATTATTTTCTTCAGTGCACCTGTATTTGGTTCCTCCCTTCTTCCTAGGTTTTCTTCCTCCCTGTCTCATTCCTTCCTCCTCAATTTTCATTCCTCTTTCACTCTTTCCATTTTCCTCCCTTCCTTTATTTCCTTCTACTTTCCTCATGTCTTTTTCTCTTTCATTCCTTCCTTCCTTCATTCTGCCAATCTTTGGTTCTATCCTTCTTTCCTCCTTCCCTTTTTTTTGGTTTCTTCTTTTCTCCCTGCTGTTTCTTGTCTTCTTTCCCTTACTTTTTCCTTCTGTGTCTTTTGTTCATTCTTTCCATTCCATCTCTTTTCCCTCCTTTCCCTCTTTTCTTCTTCCATTTGGTCCTGCCTTCCATTCTTTCAACTTTTCTCATATCTTTTGTTCCTCCCTCCCTCCTGTCTTTTTGTACCTTTCTTTCTTTCTTTCTTACGCCCTTCTCCCTTACTTTTCTTTCTTCCTTTACCCCTCCTATCTCTTTCTCCTTCCTTCCTTCTGCCCATCTTTGGTTCCATCCTTCTTTCTTGCTTCCCTTCTTTTTCTTCTTTTCTCCCTGCTTCCTTTGTTCCTTATTTTTTCCTTCTGTATGTTATTTGTTCATTTCATCCCTTCCTTCCTTCCTTCTCTTTTTTCCCTCCTCTTTCCTTCTGTCCTTCCTTTCTTTCTACTTCCCTCGTGTCTTTTGTTCCTTCCTTCCTCCTTCCTGTATTTCCGTCCGTCATTCCTTCCTCTCATCTGTCTTTTGTTCGATCCTCTGTCCTTTCCTCCCTTGCTCTGTCTATCTGCCTTCTGATGATTTCCCTCATTTCTGCATTGCTTCCTGGTGAATGTGAACAGCTCACACAGAGCCAATGATAGCTGGAGATGAGGTTAGGGCCATGACATTCCCCTCAGGACCAATGCCTGGCACAGAGTCCTTGTAGAATATTCTACCAAATTACGTCACGAGCTGAGGATAATAATACCTGTTTTATAGGTTGAGAATCCCAGGGCACTGTGAAGGACAAGCAGGGTCAGCTGAAAACACAGAAAGACTGTAAATTGTATTTCATTGTCGGGGAAAGGATAGTATTCATTCATATCAATAAATGAGAAATGATGTGATGTTGGACTGGGTTTTGATTTGGTCGTATCATGCATGCTGCTGAATAGTCCAAAGATATAAAGATAGATATCTTTCATTTAGAACAGATTGTTGCTCTTGAAGTCCTCACAGTGACCCTGACTGTCACAATGTGAGTTAATCACGTTGGAAAATATAAATTATAAACACATGAAATAAGGTATAAGTAGTAGTAGCAAGAATTGGACATCTGCGAGTCAGATTCAACTGTCAAGCGCCCTTTACAAACTGTTATTAAGTGTGACGGCAGTAGTGTTAAATGTATTGGTAAGTGGACAAAATAAGGTAGAGCTAATTAAATGTAATGAGCTGTGTGGTGTGGAGCCATATACATGGCTAATGTGAGCCTTCACAGCAAACCAAAGTTTCACATGAGTTATGTTTCAGTTCGACATGCATCCGCCTCTACATGAAACAAATTACCTAACCATATGTCTCCTGGGCAGTACGGGGGGTGGGAAACATCTCCACACATTCAAATTGCCTCATTTACAGTGTATGTTTGTTTTCTAAAGTGACTTATTTAACCAATTCATTATATGCATTATAAATAAGAACCCATGCGGTATGCATTACATATTTGTATTACTGAGTTGTGTTCTATGACACAGCAGGACCACTTAAGGAATTTCCTGACCTTCAGTGAAATGTAGACTTAACAGTTGACAACCCATAATATTTATAGCATCTCTCCTGCAGTTTGTACATGAATGCAGGCTTCACACAGTAGAGGCCATAAATATGCTTAATATCCTCCTGGGTCATTATGTTTAGATAGATGATTAGATGCGAGCATTACAGCACTATAATAACAAGAATTGTAACAAACACAAAAGTGTTTACTTAGTTTATAATTACAGGCTTTGTTTGATTCCTAGAAGATCTAAGAAAGTCCAAATGCCAACTCAACACAGCCACTCACTGTGTATTTTATTTTTATATATTGACTTTATCCAGTTTTCTTTGCTTTTTTTATGGCAAAGTTGGTTTGTCGATCACAGTCCACTACTTTTATCCACACTGGAATGGCTCAATAACTATTTCATGGATTGCCAGGATGTTTTCTACAGAAATTCATGTTTCTTAGAGGATTAGCTTTGGTGATCTTTGGTAACCTCCATTGCTGGTAACAAAAGCTGCAGGTCCTCGAATGGCCACTTGAGGCTGGTTCCAGTAGTGAGTCAATCCGCATAAGACCCAAAATAAAACAACTTTACAGCAGAAATACTAATTTTAACAGACTGGCACAAAAATCATTTTTGGTCTCTTTAGTTAAATTCCCCGTTCACTGTACACTTCACAGGAGGGTGGATTTTTATGTAACTCACCCATTTAAAATGATATCAAGGACTACAGTTATGCATAATTAAGGGCATGGTCCTTTTGAGTGACAGGTAGGTGCTGTCACAAGTGGCTGTTTTCAGCAACCAGGCTTCATTCAGCCTGCCTCAGCTCCACGCCTTTGCGCCCGGTCCCTGCTAATCTAAAAAGGGCAGTCAGGATTGCCAAGATGGCGATGGCCAGAGCCAACGACACTAAATTTCACAATGGCTTTTCAGAAACCTATGGGTGATACAGAGACTACGTCCATTTTGAATTTTACAGTCTGTGATCAACTATATAAAAAAAGCTAATCACCTTTCCGGCAACCTCAGCTGTACTGTGTGTTTAGTGCCAGTTAGCGAATGGTAGCATGCCAACACACGACTAAGATAGTGATCAGGGTAACTTACATACGTTGTGTTGTAGCTACTTAATAGTTTATGATATTTAGTATAACATTGTGGGAACTTTTTGGATTGTACAATGGAATTACATCTCTCTGGCTTTTATTGAGTCTGCCCACTCAGTGTGTGTGTCCTCAGAGGTTCACCAACAAGGAGATTAATTTGAACAAAACCCTAATCACTGTATCATTTGTGAATAATCACTTAATTTATATAAAGACAAAACCCTAATCACTGTATCATTTGTGAATAATCACTTAATTTATATAAAGACAAAACCCTAATCACTGTATCATTTGTGAATAATCAATGAATATCAATAATATTAACACATCAATAATTTAATCTTCAAGGAAATGTCTGCTTCTGCTGCTGCTTTTTGTCTTTCCAGGGACCGGCCCCTTGCCTGGAGCGGGACAATATTCGGTCCATCACATCAAACACAGACTAATTGATTTGCCAAATAAAGATCTTCCTACAGTGCACCCCCCACATACACACTCCATCTTCCATAATATGAATTTTAATAATAGCCAATGGAATATTGATGTGATCTCAATATGTCACTCCTCAACATATTGAGTAAGTGAAGTCTGACTCTCTATGGGCTGATTGCATTACATTGTAATGAGCTGGGGCTATTTGATTAGAGGGCTGTTTTTTTATCTTTCAATTTCCAAGTTTCGACTGTTGAAGTAATACCTTTGTTAAACACACAGGATGGTAAAGAAAGCATTTTCACAACTGTTGTTTGGAATGACACTATTTAACCAGTATTACTTTTGTTGATTCCTAATAAAGTAGACCGTCATTCAGCTAAGTAAATCTTTTTCAGAAAGCACAAAAGATTTGATTGCTATTGAGAGGCTTACATTGTTGATGTTTTAATGGACTTTGGTGGGTTTTACAGTGAGCTTGATTAGTTAGACCGTGGGGTATGTGTTTTGGTACTTACATTATTTGCATGGTGGCCTATCATTCATTTTCACTTTGTGTAATACAAGGACTTTTATAGAGGCCCATTTGCCGATATAGAGGGGGTTGTCACAACATGT